TGCATCAAGACTTGCATCAGAACATTAGGTATTTAGCTAAGCCAACAAGTCCATCTGTACAACGATCAGCACTGTGACTTATGATAATAAAGTCCAAAAGAGAACTTAAAAATAACACATGAAATCTTTCTCATTGTATTCTAGTTTCTATGGAACTGTTTCTTTGTGTTTACCGTTTCAGATGGACTATAACTTGGTTTCTGAATAATTAGTCGCATTTTGAGGAATCATTGCCTGGAGAATTGGATTGTATTTGTATTACATGTGAGATGTATTTGTGTAGCAGTCCCAGGTGTTGTAGTTAAGGTGTGGTGTTACTGAGACTCTTAGGTATTTTTCTGGGCTTCTAATGAATACACACGAGAAAAGCTGTGCAAAAGAAATGGAGATGGTATCAAGCCCCCTCAGATTCTTTAACCATTGTTTTCAATGTCTCACAATGTAAAACTAAAGATTTTGGAGAGATTTTACATCAGTAACAAGCTCTGTCTGCTTTATGCTATCATGTATAAGAGCTGTATTCAAATCCATAGCTACACATATTTTTGTTTTGTTTCCACAGACACATTGCTTCCTTCCTGTCTGTTTTCAAACTGCTGGTGATTGGGCTGATTATCATCGGCAGGGACCCGTTCGCTCTCTTTGGTATGCAAGCCCCCGGAATGTGGGAATGGGGCCAAGGAAATAAGGTAAGGTTTCCTGGAATCAAAACTGTGTCCTTATGGGAGCGTTTTTACTCTAGTGTTTTTAATGTGTAACAGCGTGTTAGACGGCAGACTCTGGCTTTTCAGTAGATGGAGCTGCACATTGTTTTGGCAAGTTATTGCAGATAGCACAGGCGTGGGTAGCATGTAGAAATGAAGAAAGGTGGGCTCTAGTTTCCGTTTACTTACAGGCTGCCAAGTACAACTAAAACCCACAGGATTTCATTAGCTCTTCATTTGGTGGCTTCTGGTTGTTTTGTTAAGTATTGTTTGGCTTGGATTTGTTATCCCCAGGGTTAGAGACCTGGCAAATCCCAAAAGCCTTCCTGCAATAATGGTTGTTCTTGCATTTTAACAGAAGGCTGAAAAAGATTAAAAAACTATTTTTGTGCCATTGAAACCCAAGTGCATAACAGCAACTCTTGCCTTTAAATACACAATAAAGACTTATTCATTTTGGTTTGGGTTGGTTTTGCTAGTGAATTTGTTCTTTTAAAATTGCTTCTAAGCCACATATGTTTGATAACAAAGACTATCTTAAGTTTTTCTTCCGCTGAGTATGTGTTTGCTTTTTAAGCTGCTTTCGGTATATACATGGAATCCTTTCGCATAATATTTAACATGAATCTAGACTGATATCACTAAATCAGCTGGCTTAAGAGCAGAAATCTGGTTTTAAAATTTGGATTTAAAATGTATTTATTTTGAGAAATAGCCATATACTTCACAATGTTAACATATTGGCAAGTGTTACTCCACTGAGAGTGACTACTGAAGTGCACTAACGGATGGCATGAACGTCATATTTT